AAAAAGGACTAATAAAAAACCCTAAATATTATTATTAAATTAACCAACACAAATAACCAAAAAATTAACACAAGATCAGGACTAAGAGAACTAAATAAATACTAAATTAAAGGCAAAGGGACAAAAACAGACCACATCCAAAAACAAGGAGCAAGACAAGAACATAGAATTACAAGAGACAAGACTAGAGCACAAGATCAAACAGACAGGGAGACAGGAACACATAATCAGCCACAACCACAGACAGAAATAAACACAGTGAGGGAAAGAATGACCACGAACCAGCAAAGACAATAGGGCAAAGGGCACTATAAATAGGGAGGAAACCACACAAGGAACAGGTGAGAGCAATTACACTAACAAGGACTCAATGAGGGCTAACAAGAGGGTGTGGTAATGAGGAAACCAGGAGGAGGAGCTAAAGCACATGGCTGAGAAAAACAAACTAGGCCATGTGCTGACAAGACAACATAGACACAAGAAACAAAAACACAAGACAACCAGAGTGTCAGGGCAAAACCCTGACACATTTAAATCCACAACCTAATAAAAGTAAACAATTATGTATAAAAACAACTATAGGAATTCACAAGCCTCTCTATACGTCCTATACAGGCATCTAGTGGTTACACCATGAAATTATTGGTATTTTCTTTTTTTTGCTCTCACAAGGAGGTGCTAATCTGCCTTCAAAAATAGGATTTTAAAGGCCTAGTCTCTATTTTAATCTGAAATACTGCATTAATTGAAAAATGTTGTACTATTTTCAAAGGGAAAAATTTATCATAATTATTGCATAAATATTAATTAGTACCATAAAATTATCTCAGAAGAGTCATATTATTGTCGCTTTCGTCTCTTGCGCTTCCTTCCCACCAAAACAATAAAATAACATTTTAAAAAATCCGCGGGCACTGGCGCGATTTAAAAAAGTCACCAGTTGGTTTCTCCCAAGGATTTAAAAATAATCTCACTTGAAAATTAAATCGTTTCAGAAAGTGACTTATACCATAGCCAGGTGATGATTAGACGTAATGTGAACTTCATACAGTATTGAATGGACAGTATCACGTACATGTTTTCATTAACAAATAAAACGTTTTATCACATCTTTTTAGTAGCTTTAAAGCCCAACTCCTCATTAAGTATGAAAAAGAACAGCCTGAAAATTCTGCTTTATAGATTCTTCGAACGACATGAGGGTAAGAATGATAAAATAATTTTATATTTTGTGTAAACTATCCACTGATCTAGTGAAACTATCAAATCAATACTAGCAATATCGATATTCATTAGTTTTTAGCTTGTTTATAATACTACTAATACCTTAAAGTCTGCATGAAATGGAAGTTGCCATTCTCTTTTCTTCTCTACTGTGACGTATATCCGAGTGAAACGGCATCTGAAATGAGAGGGCGGGACTTGATTTCGTCCTTCGGGAATTGATTGGATCGTTGGAAGCTGGGGCGTTGCTAACAAAATGGAGGCAGATCTGAATGCCAGTTTGCAGTTAGTGGTGGGGGATTTCTCTTCACTAGATTCACAGCCGACACCCAAGCATGAATAAATGTTTTATTTATTAAGGATGAGGACGACGATCAACTGCACAAAGCATGCCTAAACAGCGCACGCGCGCGCGAGAGAGAGACTGCCTGAATGACTGAGCGCGTCCTCCATCAGGTTAAGTCATATTCATGAAAAAAATTAGTTTGCAATGTCCTAAGAGTAATGTTGTAGTAATATCCTAATATATTTTCAATGTTTAGGGGTAACGTACTCCCTCATGACTGGTGTCAGTGCTATAAAGTGAAGCATCAGCTTCAGCTTTTCCCCCTCAGAAAATCAATTTTTCTAACATGTACAACATCTTAATCACAAATGAAAAAACATAAAAAAAACATGAAAAAATCCATAAGAATTGTTATTAAAACATCAATTTATGACGAATTATTCGTATTCACATTTAGAAAGGATTGAGTAGGCTCATTTGTTATAGTCCATACAATAGAAAGCTAACAAGAATACGCTAGAAAACAAGTGTACATTTACAGAAAGAAAGGTTACTGTATGAAAACGTTAAGAAAGGCAGAATATTTCTTCCTCATATTTCCTTCAGTCATGCAACTGCATTATATGGTTACAGACTCATAGATCCGAACATGTGGATTGTCTCTATGTGATGGTTAGTGGTTGAATACATGTAAATACTGTAAAAAGACTAATATTTCCGAGCAATTTTACATTGTGTCTATTGAGTGGTAAGGTGCATTTTTTATCCGTCTGTGTTGCGTGTAAAACAACTCACTTTTTCTGTAATATTCAGTGTTTGTGTGAAACAACATTGACACTTTTTGTGCACAAGTGTTATTCTAGGATTGTAACTTAGTGGTTGCATGACACTACATGGTCAAAGCGTGTCTGTGCATGATCTTAGAAGTTTAGGGATTTCAAGCCCTTTCCTGCTGGCATCCAAACACAGCATCCACTTTTGTTACACAAAAAGACAATTCAAACAACAACCAACCTCAATTGACTGAGGGTGTCACAAAGTCATAAAAGATACAGTATTATAGCATTTTCCAGTTTAAAATGACATTTCTACCTGCTAATGTAATTTATGATATTTATTCAAATCAAAATCAAATGAACACCTACGTTCAAGAAACAAGGTGCGATGTTTTGAGTGTGGTATTCTAGATACCACATCTTACGCATGATAACATTAGCGGTTGACAGGCATCGTGACAACGTCTAAACACTGTTATGTCAGCCTTATGACACTGGATGCAAGTAAATGAAACCAACAATACTGCACTTGGTAAAGACAGCTAGGTTATCTTACACTACATCCACACAAGTCTTACTTAGTGACTGCATGACAAGGAGGAACCTTTCTTAGCTTCTTTGTTCCCTGTCGCTTTTTTTCCCCACTATTTTTTGTTTGATCCTTCTCCTGTTAGTGGCCCAAGTCCAGTGTCCATATTGCAGATCCATCAACACCACAGAGAAGTGTTTCCCCATAAATGTTAAAAAAAGTTTTCTTAGCTTCTTTGTTCCCTGTCGCTTTTTTTCCCCACTATTTTTGTTTGATCCTTCTCCTGTTAGTGGCCCAAGTCCAGTGTCCATATTGCAGATCCATCAACACCACAGAGAAGTGTTTCCCCATAAATGTTAAAAAAAGAAAAAGGAAAAGGCGGACCATGGTAAAAATAAAATCCAATTCACTACAAAAAAAAAAAAAAAATCTCCTGCTAAAGAATGTGAAGCCTGGACAACAAGCCTGAACAGAAAAAATATGTACATGTGGGGCAGTGGGGAGGCATTTCTCTTTTTGTCCAGGTATCCCTTCTTCACCTTTTTCACAAATTTTCCTCCGTTAAGAAATATTCACATTTAAAGTGTGCACATACACACGAGCACCCACAAGTGTATTCACAAATTCAAGTGATATGTCAACAAAACATGTACTATTATTTCATCACAGAGTTCATTGACAATTTTTTTCTTACAGGTATTCTTCACTGCAGCTCTAAGCCACGGCAAATGTTGCACTGCACTGTTACACAGAAGATTAGTGCACTGAGTTTGTAGTGTTAATCATTTCGTCATTTTTTAGAGTACAAAAACACTTACTATTTACAAAGAGCAAAGCTCGTGAGTGGTGCCGTTTTAAAGCACACTCACCAATGCACAAGGCAAACACGCCACGCACACAAACACACACCGATAGTGTGCTGTGCAATTGTTTCCCTTCTAGAATAAGATATTGAATGCGCATAATGGCTCAAAGGCTTGATGGCTGTCAGTTCACACACTGTGGTACACCATAGATTACACTGTACTGTAAATACAAAGATCGGCCTTCGATGACAGGAACATTTGTTTAACCACAGAGTCACAAGTATGTGAACATTAGTAAAGGAGTAAACATCTCCGTTAACATCAAATAGCAATGATGAATACCTTGGATTGTGGCTGCAGTAGTAGAATGCTGCATTTTAAAGCACACTCACTAATGCACAAGGCAAACACGCCACGCACACAAACACACACCGATAGTGTGCTGTGCAATTGTTTCCCTTCTAGAATAAGATATTGAATGCGCATAATGGCTCAAAGGCTTGATGGCTGTCAGTTCACACACTGTGGTACACCATAGATTACACTGTACTGTAAATACAAAGATCGGCCTTCGATGACAGGAACATTTGTTTAACCACAGAGTCACAAGTATGTGAACATTAGTAAAGGAGTAAACATCTCCGTTAACATCAAATAGCAATGATGAATACCTTGGATTGTGGCTGCAGTAGTAGAATGCTGCCATATTGTCAGGAACTGCAGAGAAAGCACAAAAGCTGCATCTTTAAAACCTTGTTAAACTATATGTAATTTTGCAAAACACTTAAAAATAGAACTCCATCCTAAAATCAAATGTCATAGTGACATTTCATTGCACAGCACGGCAAGAGATTTAAAAATGACAGTGGTATAAACCATTATCCTGCTGTGATAATGTGGTCCTGCAGTCCTTGCCAATATGGCTGCCCTGAGAGAATCTCTGTAAGGGTAGTAAGGGAGCTATACTGTGCTGACGACTGAGAGGAGTCCTCCAGAAGAGGGCAGTGTAGTTGCTGTGAAGCATTGTGTGAGATTAGGGGAGTTAAAAAAATGGCAGTCTGAATAAAGGTTTAGCAGAATGGAGTCTTTAGGAAGACAGAGTAGGTAAGCATGGATGACTGATTCCAATCGGATAAAGAATTTCTTTACTGGCGAAGGGCTGAACATCGAGGCGGAGACAAATGTCCTACTGGTAGACCTGACAGGTAGATGACTATTGGTTACGCATTTGATGATAGTTAATGGATGGAGGAGTGGGGTCGGTGGATAGCTGAATTTGGTCGGCTGTTTGGAGCTGAACGGCTGGTTAGATCTGGTCGCATGTTGGGCGCCAGTCCGTTCTGGGATTCTGATGGCCTGGACTGGTCTGGGCGGCTGGTTGCCAGATATTTGGCCCTCATGCTTGAGGTGTACTGCAAAACAGGGTGAGAAAACAAGGAAAAGGGGAGGGAAGACACAATCACATCATTTTGAAGAGTTGTTTTTACAATACAATCTAAACCTTTTTCCAAATATGGTCGACACAATTATTTAGTCAAAGTAAAGAAAAGTTACAGCATCTAAATGGGTATTAGGAGAGAGCCAAATGTCCTACAAACATGAAGCACATATAAATATGAACCTCATTCTGTCGCTCTCACTAACTCACTCACATGCGTAACAGACAAACTGACAGTCATTTGGACAGCCTGATGGTTTTGTTAAAGCCAAGAGTTACTGTGATGATGCACACTATCGTCTATTCACACTATTCTCCTCACGATCGGCTTTTGAGTTCAAGTTCCATTAAAAAGAGTGCAATTAATGTGAAAATGAAAGAAAAGAAAAAAATGTAACACAAATGACAAATAGGAAATGAAAAGAACAGTGAATGAGAACAACACATATAGATAGTGCCGCTATATGTGGGTGAATACTGTTGACACATTTTACAAAACAGACATGCATGAGGGATGTTTTTCAGTAGGGTGAGAAAGAGACCAAATTCATGCATATTTTCAATCATAAAATCCTTAGAAGGAGAGACTATTCCATAATCTATCAGTTATTCAAATTCCAGCAAGGACAGGCACCAAAAAGCAGCATCCTGGACAATGACATTACTGGGAATAAGATTACATCCTTTCAAAGAATCATGGATTCTTGAGTGGTCTCTCCAGTCTGGAGTTTGAATACGCATGCGTCATGTCCAGGGCCCCAAAAACACAAAATCAAAAGGAAAAAAACACCTAGAAAGTAAGACGGAGTGAGAGCGGCGCTTGGAAGAGGTCGAAGTGTTCTCGTTTTCTGAACTCAAACTAATGGGAGAATGAAGGATGTCCTTGCATGCCAAGTCTGATTAAAAGAGCCGCCCTGCCACTTCAAAAAGAGTACCATGCTCCCTTATTCACTGCGCATGAACCAGGAGAAGCATTCTCCGGTCTTGTCATTGACTATACATGCAATCATGCAAACTCCAGGATTCTGTAAAGCACTGCAAAACCCACTTCCACTCAATGAGGAGCCTTGACTTGAAAATATGAGCAATAAATGCCATCTCAGAATATTCTTTAAAGGAATATTTTACCCAAAATGCATAATCTATCACTATTTACTCCAAACCCGTACAAATGATCTCCTATAGAACACAAAAAGAGAAATTTAACAAAATGTTCATGCAGCCCTTTTTCATACAATGCATATGAAGGGAAATGGACACTGTTAAGCACCAAATATGACAAACAAAGGCCATAAAAATACCCTAAAAGTCCATACAATCCATGCATTATATTGCAAGTCTTCTGAAGCCACACAATAGCTTTGTGAGAGGAACAGACCGAAATTCAAGTTGTTATTTGCAGAAATTCTTCCTTTTACATTTAAATACTGTTAGATGTTTCGATTTTTTTTAAACATATCGATTCTGAATATTTGAAAGAGTTTCAATGCTCATTTTCCACAGCACTGATACACTTGTACCAACTGCTCTTTCTCGCTCTCTCCTCTCTCTGACTTTAAGTTGACACGCAGTGTTATATAATCAAGTATATAGTCAGTTGTGCTGTGTGTTTCAGAGCGAAGTGCAGCACTATGTTTTTACATGCTAGCAGCTCATGATCCAGTGTTTCACAGTGGCTCGTTTCACAGTAAATGGAGCTAACTCCATCTTTGCGTGTTCTGTGAGTTTAACATGCATTGTGTTGTAATTGCAACGTGTTGTGCTTTTTCACGGTCACATAATTTCCAACATTTTTGTGGACAGACAATTACAGCATTTCTCGTTCGTGTTTGTAATAATAACAATAATACCCCATGGTATTGAAAACATATTGTATCAAAGTTATTCCGTAAATTTCAGTATAATGACAACACTACATCTTGCAGTTTTATTTGGGTCTCTTCCTCACATAAAGCTATCACAAGGCTTCACTTCACATAAACAGCTTTTATGGTGCTTTTTTTTGTCACGTTTGGACGTCCTTCCCATTGGCATTTACATTTATTGTATGGAAAAGAAAACCTTTTATTTCACATTCAAAGGAAATGATGGCAAATTTGGCTGGATCTATTTCACCTTGTTGTTTGTGAGGACTTTTTGTTGTGGCAGTTACACAAAGACGACTTGTAATAAGTGTCGCATACAGGCTGCCAAAATGACCTTCAAGACTCTTTACGTGTGTTTGAGTTGACAATGTTTTTCAGTATTCTAAAACTATGCTAAAAGTGAAGTTTTACAGTTGTCAAAGCTAGTAATTACATACTTATCAGTAAGAGGCTTATCACAGTTACATACTTATCACAGTAACATCCTGCTTTCTGGATCATCTACAGAACTATAAATTAATTATGTCAAGCATGGGGCAGGGTTTCAAGATTTACCATTTACTAAAAAGAGTAACTGAATGTGTGACACTGCGCTAGATGCCGACTGCACATCTGCAGACATGTGTGTTTGTGTAAATGTGCTTGTGCACTTACTGACGGCGGGGGGGATTCTCTGCCAATGAGTGGCGTGTTCTCGCACCGAGGGGTCTGAAAGTTAGCATTCTGGCTCCTGCGTCACAAACAAGATACCAGTTACTCTGACTCCCTCTTCATGAGAGGGATTTCCACACGGCGATGCACTAAACTTTACAAATCTGACAGAAAGCTTTGAACTGCAGGGTGGGAGTAATACGCAAAGCCATTGAGTGATACCACTATGCACTATATTGAGTCATATCGACCATATACAGTATGTAGATCATGATAGATATCGCTTGGGTTGCGTCATACATTATCTATCATATAGTAAAACTCATTGCACAAGCTGAATTATCTACTTATACTTCCCATGCCATAATATGTTTGTTTCAGGGGCTTTATATACAGTGGTGTGAAAAGTGGCCCCTAAGTCCACCTCTGAATGGCTCAAGAAAAACTAAATTAAGGTTTTGGAGTGGCCAAATCAAAGTCTGGACTTAAATCAGATTGAGACTTAAACAGTCCATTCATGCTCGAAAACCCTCCAATGTGGCTGAATTAAAACAATTCTGCAAAGAAGAGTGGGCCAAAATTCCTCCACAGCGATGTGAAAGACTCATTGCCAGTTATCACAAACGCTTGATTGCAATTGTTGCTGCAAAGCGTGGCACAACCAGTTATTAGGTTTAGGGGGCAATTACTTTTTCACGTAGGGCCAGGCAGGTTTGGACAGCTTTTTTCCCTTGATAAAATAAATAATCATTTAAAAACTGCATTTTGTATTTACTTGCATTATCTTTGTGTAATATTAAAATTAGTTTGATGATCTGAATCTTTTAAGTGTGACAAATATGCAAAAAAATTTAAAACCAAGGGGGCCAACACTTTTTCACACCATTGTATAATAACTTTAATTAAGACGTAAAACCCATGCAGTATAACAACTGAGCTAAAATCTACAGTAAAGCGAGCAAAGCCCATGCAGTAATCTATGCTAGCGAGCCTATACTACAGGACCTGTAAAACCGGTGCAGTCCTTCAAATCCAGCCCATGCATTAGGATGAGGTTAGCATGGCTACACTCACATGTACTCAGTGACTGGTGCGTTGCTGACAGTGTGTGCCGCAGCGGGTAGACTAGCCTCACTGCCGTAGGTGCTGCTGCCACAGCTGTACAGGCTAGGCATGTGTACGCGGTACAGGTTATCGTGCGGCGCTCGCGGGCCGAGTGTGGCCGAAGTCTCATCGCCATCCTCCTCCTCAGACCTTCAGACAAATTAGCACAGGTCAAACACGTGCCCCTGGGTCAGAAGGGAGGGAAAAAGGTCTCTCCTCTCACTAGACTTGGTGAAGATCTCTTTAAAACCATTTTCGCGCCATTCCTCATATGACTCTAAAGCATACTGATGATGGGTACTGGCAAAATGACATGTTTCTCACATTCGTTTTCCCATTCTTTATCTCTGTCGTTTTACAAAGGGGAGAGTTCTCTTCAGAGTGAATTTTCATGACTGTGAAAAAATATACTTTAGAAAAAAAATGAAATAAAAATCTTGCTTGAGTCATTGCATGCTTTATATGAATCACATGCATTCAGATTACATTTTATCTTAAATCCTCAAAATCCACACTTACATCGAGTATTTAAAGGTTTTTCAATACCTTTTAGCCAACAATGTGTTTGGGTGAGTATTAGAAATTAAGTAAAAAGAAAATTAATACTTTTATACAGCAAGGACATTAAATTGCTTTTCTTTATAACTTTCAAATTAATTCAGCGTGACACTGAAGACTGGAAAATTGGCTGCTGAAAATTCACCTTTGCCATCAAAGGAATAAATTACATTTTAAAAATGTATACAAATAGAAAACAGTTATTTTAGATTGTACTAATATTTCCCAATATTATAGTTTTTTTATCAAATAAATGCAGCCTTGGTGAGCATAAGAGATTTTTTTCAAAGACATTTAAACTCCACTTTTGAGCGGTAATGTACATTATTATATTTTATGTAATATTCATATTTTAAAAAATGTTTACTAGGAGTTTCTAACGTACATGAAACTCTCAACTCTTGATTTTAAAAGCCACTTTTAATATAAATGACTTCTAATGGCTTATTGAATGATGTAGTTAAACTAATTAGAAAATAGTTTATCTGCCAACTGATGGAAAAACTAAGCTCAGTCAGTAGGCCTACTAGTATTTCTAACTAATCTTAGTCATATGGGCAATTATAGAATAAGAGTAAACTTGGCAGTCAGGATGCTAAAACGGGGCAGCATCTCATTTTCATCTGTTATGTATTTGCTTTAATACATGTGCGCTGTCAATGTAAAAATAAATAAATAAAATCAAACCAACCAATCAATTAAATAAATAAATAAAGTCAAAACAATCCTACAGCCATGATGTTAGTTAGAACTTAGAAGCAATTCAACTGCACTTAAAAATAAAAAAGTCTCACAAAAACTACTGTGGATTTCCATCGCATTTCCAATGGATTGTCCTCAGTAACCACTGAACGTTCTCTCCGTGATTTAAGTCATGCATTAGATCAACAAACAACCACTATGAATTGGATCTGAAACGTAAAAAAGGGGGGGGGACAACGCATTTTAAAGGAAAGGAATAAAAAAACAAAAAGTGGATCTGTGAAAGTGTAGATTTGGATGCCACTTTGATCAAGAAATATTTTACATGTAACTCTTAACAGACCTTTTCCAATCCAGCTTGCTCAGTGTGTAATCTAAGCAAATGAAGTTTTCACATCACCAACATGTTTCAATGTTGATGATACTCTTCACAAATGCACATCAGCCTTTCTTGCAGTTTCAAGATAGCCCAAAGGAAGGCAGCATCTTCCACAGAACTGTCAGTCTGCCTTTGCACCGAATTTGGAATAGGGTCTCTTTGTTCTTTCCCTTTTCATAGATACACAAGCGCTATTACAGACAGATGCTTTACCGTGAGTCAAATAACAAATTCCTCCATCACCGTAATTCAAAATACTCCTTTCAAAATGTACTGCTATTTTTCTTTTACACGCAAGCTATATTTAGTTTACCCATAGAGCACTACAAACCAAGTGTGTCTCTCACACATACTACAGGGCAGTGGGTTTTCCAAATCTATGACACAAAGAGGAATGAACGACAAGACAACAGAAGCTTCACAGTCATGAGAAGATGATTAATATGTGAAAACATAAGGAGCAGATGTCACAATAAAAGCATTAAACAAACTGGCAGTCAATTCTCTGTCTATCTACTGGAGCTGCGTTTACATACCTTGCCCTCCTCAACCCACCCCACATCTATTTTTTTGGTGTATTTTGACCCTTGCCCTCTCACCTCTTGCTCTGCCAGGTGTGAGGCACACTGCAAACGATGGAGCTAAACATTAGCGCAGTGACAAATGAGAAGAGGACCAGATAAATGAGCCCCTCCACTCCATCGTAACACAGTCCGGTCAGAGCCTGCACATAGTCCTGTGAGACAGAAAAAAAACAATGATGAACAGCCATATGAAAAGTCTGTTCTTGCTTTAGAAGTCCTTCAATCAAATGGTAATCAAATGGTTCAGGTCATACTTAGAAGGGAGAGGTTATTATGTGAGTATAGGAGAGCAAAATTCTAAGTGGATGTCCATGACATGCGGAGTCCCACAAGGCTCAATTCTTGCACCGCTCTTGTTTAGCCTGTATATGCTCCCACTAAGTCAAATAATGAGAAAGAACCAAATCGCCTATCACAGCTATGCAGATGATACCCAGATTTACCTAGCCTTATCTCCAAATGACTACAGCCCCATTGACTCCCTCTGCCAATGCATTGATGAAATTAACAGTTGGATGTGCGAGAACTTTCTTCAGTTAAACAAGGAAAAAACTGAAGTCATTGCATTTGGAAACAAAGACGAAGTTCTCAAGGTGAATGCATACCTTGACTCTAGGGGTCTAACAACTAAAAATCAAGTCAGGAATCTTGGTGTGATTCTTGATACAGAACTACCACATTTTGCTATAAGTTTGATTGCATCGTATAATAATTGCTGTTAATATTATTCATCGTCTGTTTTATTATGACCTAAATACATAGCAGATATGTTCACTGAATATAAACCTAACAGACCACTCAGATCATTAGGATCAAGTCAGTTAGAAATACCAAGGGTTCACACAAAACAAGGGGAGTCTGCTTTTAGTTATTATGCCACCCGCAGTTGGAATCAGCTTCCAGAAGAGATCAGATGTGCTAAAACATTAGTCACATTTAAATGCAGACTCAAAATGAATCTGTTTAGCTGTGCATTTACTGAATGAGCACTGTGCTATGTCTGAACTGATTGCACTATATTCTATGTATAATCGTTTTCTTAAATTCATTTTAAACCTCTTAAATCAATTTTTTTAATCATTGTCAAAGTTTTTAAATTCCTTGTTTTATTGTTGTGAATATTTTTTTTCTTTTCTTTTATGTAAAGCACTTTCAATTACCATTGTGTATGAAAACGTGCTATACAAATAAACTTGCCTTGCCTTGCCTTCAACACTGTAAAGGAAGTGTTAAATGCATTTGCACAGGAAGCACAAGCACAATCATGGAAAGTAATATACGAGTGTTCCTTCAACTTTGAACACACTTATGCCCCATTTTATAATACTTGTAGCATCTGGACCACTCAAACACACAATATATTTTTTTGTTAGCTAGATTTCACAAATACTTTGTAACACCCCAGGATGCCGAACAGGACCCTGGTTTCATGGTAACCCGATACATTTACAACCTTGTGGAATGCGAGCCGACTCTCAGCTGCATTCTCCAGAAACAAGGGGCACAAATGCACAGTAGAAATTGACTTTTCTACTAATTAATTTAAAGGAAAACCTTTCTTTGAATGAACACACATATTCTTCAGGCCATTGTGTATATTATTGCTGTTTTGTATTAATCTGTTGTATTATAGACTATTTTTATTCATGCTTACGATAAACCACTCATTCATATAACCTTACATATAGCTTGTTTAGTATCTATGAATTCGCCTTCTGATGACCTAAACAAGAATGTATATTATATGTTGGTACATAGGCAATATATTAGTACCCTGAGAACCTTTAGTATTTTCGATTCAAGTTCCAGATACTAAAGTACCATGTTTCCACACAAAGAGTCATAAACTCCACAGGATCTCAAAACGCCCACTTGGGATTCCGGCTTTTCTCATTGGATAAGCCCATCTTGAGAGGCGGGGATCTTCTCTGACCTTAAAACTGACACACCATGTGACCGCCCCAGTCGGTGGTTCGGTCAGAAGCAAAGATGAAGATGTGAGAAA